CTACGTCACAGAGAACGAGTGAAGCCGGCCACAGTCGAGCGTGTACCTGCTGTACTGTCATATGTTAGAGGAGTCACTGACAAGATTGGCTACATCTTGAAGCGCGCTGCCATCAAAACATACTTCAAGCCGCCGAAGAAGATTGGTCAGTTTTTACCATTAGTCAAGTGTAACGTCCCTCTGCAAGATGCAGGAGTGTACAAGCTTGATTGTGAATGTGGTCTCTCCTACATAGGACAAACTAAAAGATCAATTAAAACCCGCGTCAAAGAACATATAGCTGATGTGAAGAATAGACGCTCCGGGAAGTCTGCAGTCTGTGAACACGTACAGGATCGCCCCCGTCACTACATCAGATTTGATAGACCGCAAATCCTCGCTAAAGAACACCGATTCCTTCCAAGGATGATTCGCGAGGCTATTGAAATCAAAAAACATCCTAATTTCAATAAAGAAGATGGCTGGGTGCTACCATCTGCTTGGGATCCTATAATAAATAAAATTAAATCCCAACCCAAGCATACAACTGCAAGACTTCAAGATACCATAAGTTCATACTGCATAGATCGGAACAAAAGTTAAATTTTAATCTATGGTAACCGCGGTTAACTATGACATATGGACGTTGAAAATCTCAGTCCTGCCCGTGACCATGAGTGCTGTAAAGCGTTCGAAACGTCGGGTATTTAAAAAGTGCAGCACCATGATCTTTACTTGACACAATATCAAAACAGATCGCGGAACTTACTCGTCAAGTGCAAGCATTATCCTTTCGAAATCGAAGAAAATCACGGTCACAAAATAGAGACAACAAACGAGACCGCAACCATAGTCACAGTCACAGTCATACTCCTAATCGGTCTCAGTCAAATTATAGAGGATTTCCATTTTGCTACTATCATTATAAATTCGGCAATAAGGCTAATAAGTGCGTTAAGCCTTGTGATTACCAACAGGGAAACGATCAGGGCAGTCGTTAGTGGCGACAAATGATTGCCTCAGTTCATCCGGTCGCCTTTTTGTCACACCGGAAGCGACCTTTGTGTCTTCCCGCGTACGGCACTTAAACAACGACGACCTCGAACATCTTACGAACTTTTTTGCGGCAAATGGAACTACCATACCCACCTACGGCTATGCTCATCTCGAACTAAATCTGGGACTTCGACGAGATTTTTCATGGCGCTTTGTAGTAGCCGATGTAAACAAAGCAATCATCGGAATTGATTTCTTATCATTCTACCATATCATTGTCGACTGTCGTAACCGTTGGTTAATAGATAACAGTACTTCGTTGCAAACATCTGCTGAGCCTACTACAGCTAATGTGATAGCTTCAGTTAAAACCATGAGAGGTCATTCAAAGTATGTTGAATTACTACGTGACTTTCCGGAGATAACCCGATCGTCAGGTGTACCGCAAGCTCCTAAGCATAGTACCGTCCACTTCATTCGTACTAAGCCAGGACCACCTGTGTCTTACAACCCAAGAAGATTATCACCAGAAAAACTGAAAATAGCGAAGCAAGAATTCGAGGCAATGATAAAGAGTGGAATAGCACGTCCATCTGAGAGCCCGTGGTCTTCTCCTCTCCATCTTGTACCAAAGAAACATAACGGATGGCGGCCATGTGGAGATTAAAGAATGTTGAACGCACAGACAATTCCAGACAAATATCCCATCAGGTACTTACAAGACTTTACCCATTACATATCGGGTTGTACAATTTTTTCTACGCTAGATTTGGTGAAAACGTACAACCAGATACCAGTCAACCCAGATGATATTCCGAAGACAGCCATCACCACACCATTTGGTATGTTCGAATTTCCATATATGAATTATGGCTTAAAAAAATGCGAGCCAAACCTTTCAAAGGTTTGTAGACGAAATAACACGAGGACTTGATTTTTGCTTCGCGTACCTGGATGATTTTCTAATATTTTCCCAGGATGAAGACAGCCATCTTGACCACCTTCGCCAAATCTTTGAAAAACTTCAGGAATTCGGTATGGTTATCAACACGAGCAAATGTGAATTCGGTAAGAAAGAGATCACCTTTCTAGGGTATCACGTCACAGTCAACGGTGTTAAGCCTTTGGACAGTAAGGTTCAAGCCATCAAAGACTTCCCCACTCCGAAAAACGTACGAGAACTTCGGCGTTTTCTAGGGATGTTAAACTTTTATCGCCGATTTATCAAAGGAGCTGCCGAAATTCAGGCACCATTAAACTCTTTGCTGACGGGGTCCGCAAAAGTATCACGTTCCGTGGATATATCTGGAGAAGCCCTACATGCTTTTGAGCACTGCAAAACTAGCCTCTGTCAAGCAGCATTCTTGGCACATCCAGATCTGAACGCAAGATTAGGTTTGGTAACCGACGCTTCAGATAAGGCAATCGGTGCCACCTTGCAGCAAGTAAAGAATGGATCATGGCAGCCACTTGCATTCTTCTCTAAGAAACTGAAACCAGCGCAACAGAAATACTCGCCATACGACAGGGAGCTTCTTGCTATATACGAGTCAGTGAAATACTTCAGACACATGCTTAAAGCAAGACATTTTACTGTTTTTACTGACCACAAACCAATCTGTTATGCATTTCACATCAGAAAGGATAAGTGCTCATCCCGCCAGTATCGTCATCTTAATTTCATATCTCAATTCACCACCGACATCCAACATATCTCCGGAAAAGATAACATAGTAGCTGATACGCTTTCAAGAGTTAAAGAATTAGCTCAGCCTGTTAGTCTGGTTACCTTAGCCAAAATGCAGAACGTGGATACGGAATTGAAAGAAATTCTGAAAGGTGGGACATCACTTAGATTACCAGTAAAGTAAAGTACCAATACCTGGCACGAAGACAGACGTATATTGTGATGATGGAACTGGAAATCAAAGGCCTTACGTACCTCAAAACTTAAGGAAACAAGTCTTTGAGAGTTTACATTCGCTGAGCCATCCTGAGGTCAAAGCCACAACAAAGATGATAACAGAACGCTACGTTTGGCCAGGAGTGAAGAGAAACTGTCGTGAATGGTCAAGAACGTGTCACCCCTGCCAGCGTGCAAAGATAACACGTCATGTCTCCGCACCTTTAGGTACATACAAATTACCACCTGCCAGATTCCAATACGTCCATATAGACATCATTGGACCTTTACCTCTATCAGATAGATATCGCTATTGTCTTACAGCAGTTGATAGATTTACCAGATGGTCTGAGGCAATACCCTTATCAGATATCACTGCTGAAACTGTTGCAAAAGCAGTTCTTAATGGCTGGATTTCGCGTTTTGGGTGTCCTGCTGAAATCATCACAGACCGAGGAAGACAATTCGAATGTTCCTTATTTAAACATCTATCCAATCTAATCGGATTTCAGCATAAGCGAACTACATCTTACCACCCAGCTTGTAAAGGTATGGTAGAAAGGATGCACAGACAGCTTAAAGCCGCTATTGTATGCCACAATAATCAACAATGGACAGAATCATTGCCATTAGTACTATTAGGTATGAGAAATACATTAAAAGAAGACCTTCAAACATCACCCGCTGAGTAAATTTATGGTGAATCACTTAGGTTACCAGGAGAATTTCTGCATTCTAACAACAGCGAAAGAAGCACAGACATAACGGATTTCTTATCACGCTTAAGGCTGATAATGAACAATATTCGCCCATCACCTGGAACACGTCACGGTAGTAAAAAAGTATTTATCTTTAAAGACTTACCAAATGCGACTCACGTTTATGTCAGGGATGACTCTGTGAAAGGTTCACTGCAACCAGCATACACCGGTCCCTTCAAAGTGCTAGAAAGAGGAGATAAGATTTACAAATTACTCGTGAAAGGCAAAGAACAAACTGTCTCAATAGATAGAATAAAATCTGCCTATACAACCTCTGACGCTTCTGCATGTCGAACACCACCTGCAAACAAAAAAGAAGAGTATGAGAGAAATTGTACGCGCTCAGGACGCAGAGTTAAATTACCTGATTATTATTGCCCATCATAGATGGTCTCTGGGTGGGAGTGATGTGGCGTCATTAATCTGAAAAATAAAAATAAACAATTAAAATTAAAATAAAATACAAAAATAAATAAGTAATATAAAACTTACCTTGAAGTCGTGTCGTATCGTCGCAGAAATCGTGATCAAGTCGTTGAGTAGTAAAGTCGCCCCGATAATGTATCGAACAAAAGATTGAAGACATCGAAGCGGCGCACCCGCCACGCAGTTAGTAAGAATATATTACTGTGACGGTAAGACGTATGACGCTTGTGCCCGGCTATTGTTTGTATTTGCTACTTGCTTTGAACTGTTTCTTCCTTCTTGTGCTAATAACTTCTGTGCTATGCTTTGTGCTAAATTATAAACAGTATTTTATATGTGAACTATTGTATTCGTGAATTATTGTAGCTGTGAACTATAGCATAGGTGAACTATTTAATTGTGTGAACTGTTCTGCTTACAATAAAATTTTATAGAAAGTGACTGGTGAGTAATTTATTAAGAATCTCTCCACATCACTTCAACATTGACATTGGAACGTCAGTCACCTCAGTCCGCCGTGACCATGGGTGCTGGAATGCACCCGAAACGTCTGGAATTAATAATCAAAGAAATAAAACGCGATAAAATTGATAAAAGTAGTTGTTGAAAAAACTGTATTTGTGAAAATAAAAACTTATATATCTTTAAAATCCCGTCTTTTTTTAAAACAATTCCTTTACCATTTCATTCTTTTAATTACATATTATTATATCTATATACTTTTATATGTGGGCACCCATGGCCGAAGTGTCTATGAAGAGTGGGCAATCCCCTTTGTCGAGCGATCCCGTTTAAGTGGGGGAATTGTACCCCGCCCATGCGATTTACATAACTAATGGCTTTAGTGTTATCTACCCGTAATAGTATCGCGCAATTAGTTTCTTTAGGTGCCAAGCTTTTGAGTCCAAGAAAAATTGCCAATAGTTCCAGATAATTTATATGGTAATTGCGTTCGCTAACTGACCACCCTCCGCGAGCGCGTTCTTCATCGCGCACTGCGCCCCAGCCAGTTCGTGAAGCATCTGTGTAGTTTTCAATTTTATAGCCGGCGTTTCGCATTGGATGTAATGTTGTTTTGATGTTATTGGTCCACCAAGTAAGATCTTCAAGGATAATACTAGGTAAATTGATTTTACTTTCATAATTCTGATTTTCAAGTAGCGCGAGATATTTTGATGTTATTGGTCCACCAAGTAAGATCTTCAAGGATAATACTAGGTAAATTTATTTTACTCTCATAATTCTGATTTTCAAGTAGCGCGAGATATTTTTGACGTTCCAATAACTTGGTGTATAACCAACCGTATTGGACAGCCGGGCACGCTGCAGTTAGAACACCAATTAATAGAGCAAATTCTCGAATAGTGTATGTGGGTAGACGAATAAACTTCTAAACTAATTGCGCAACACTGTTAAGTTTATTATCTGGGAGAGAAATGGTTAGATTCTTAGTGCAAAAGAGAAAACCTAAAAATTTACAACTTTGCTTGGGTTGGAGCGAGCTTTCATCAAAATTTATAACGAAACCTAGACATTGTAATAGTTTCAAGGTTTCATTTAAGTTAGATCTGCAATCCTCATAAGTGTTGCCGATGAAGAGAATATCATCTAGATAAATTACTGAACTAAAGCCCGCGCTTCTCAAGTGAGTTACGATTTCTTTCATAATCTTAGTAAATACCCTGGGAGCCACTAACAGCCCATAGGGCATTGACGTAAACTCGTAGGTCGTGGTCTGATTGTTTCTCTCAAATTGAAATCTTAAATACTTTCTATGTTCAGCATGAATCGGAATTAGTAAGTAGGCTTCTTTCAGATTTGTAGCTAAGTATCCGTGTTGGGGTATTATGTTTGCCGCTGTTCGATAATCTTCCATCTTGAAATGAAACTTTGAAACATATTTATTTAACGATTTCAACTTTGATATAAAAGGCTTGCTGCCGTTTGTCTTGGAGGCAAGGAATATTTTAAAGACAAACTGGTCTCTACTTGGAAGACATTCTGTTATGGCACCTAAGTTAATCAGCTTTTGAATCGCAGTTGACAATTCCTGGTGCTCTAACTCCGAAAGAGTATTGCTAGGAACGTTTGTTTGGCAGACTTCCTTGCAAAAAGGTATGTATAGACCATTTTGTATCCATCTAAAATTACTGAATTGGATGAAATTCTCGTCCAACAATTAAAAAAGTATTTAATTCTACCTGCATATACCTGAGTTACTGCGGCGCTGGGGCACGAGTCTTGTTCGCTGCTGAAGACTTCGATGCTGTCTGCTGTTGCGTCGAGCTCGGGTATGGACGGCGGCTCTGCGTCGAAGTTATCTTCCCACCTCGGTTGCAACGGTTCGTTGAGTACCGAGGTGGGCCGGACTAGAAGAGCGGTTGCTAGTGGATTGAGAGGCGGAAAGTTTCAGATTAATCTTTTTGATTTGTAGACCCTGTCGTTCAATAGCTCTGGATGCCTTGATCTTTTCTGAAAGTTTGTTACCGAACAAAGTTTCGTCTCTTACTGAATCTTGAACTACGTGGAGAAAGTCCTTATCCAGGTTTGGTGTAATTAGCTTTATGCGGCTATTCGTATTTATCATATGCAAAACCGAAAGAATACGGCAGTCATTGCTAAGATGTTGGATAGCATTCTTCTTGTCATCCCCACTTTAGAGAATATTGAGCGCCCTGTTAATGGTCGTTATCCCCGACCCGAGTTGCTGTTGGTGAACTACCAGGATCTTATCTCTGTTTCTTACAGAGTCTATAACTGTTGCTGATATGTCTGCGTTTAGTTTAGGTGCTTGCAGCAACCTACAGTTGTCCGGGATTAGGTACTCCTTCAGAATTTTTTCCTTTTTATCTTTTGGCAAGCCTTTGACGAGTAAAGTAAGCCAAAATTTGGCTAAACTCTCGTGAATTCTTTCTCAAAACTCTGGGGTATCGCTGGTGGACTCACCGAGGGCTTCTAAAAATTCAGAGTCTAATTCTGGTTCAGATGATTCACCGTTCTGGTTTTGTTTCGTCAAAGTTGCCTCTAAAGCTAGTGGCTCTAATGGTTTCTCCGCCCTGGTCTCTGGTTCCAGTGTGAGCTCAGGTTCCGGTGTAAGCTCGGGCTCCAGCATGGGCTCGGGTGTTGTGGTACTCTGCCCTGAAGCAATCCCGAGGTCTTTGTGTTAGCTATAAGGATTACATCAGGGTGGTCGGCGTCTTCAACAACTAAAAATAATATTTTTAGGATTAGAAAAGTGGATTACTTCAACGAACGAGGCTCACGGCATGCCATGATGAAGAATTTTGTTTAAACGAACGAGGCTCACGGCCTGTCCTGATGAAGGTAATTTTTTCAACAAACAAGGCTCACGGCCTGTTCTGATGAAAGCTGATAACATGTGTAAAAAACCACACGTGCTAACGAAACAAATTTTACGTAATCTTGACTCATAGTGAATCATTATAATACAAAAATAAATATGCTTACCTTCATTATTGGAATATTCTGATGATATGACCCGTATTCGGCGATGTCGTGCGACATCCCGTTCACGTAATTTTCTAATTTTGCGTTCGTTACGCTCGATTTTTTCATCCGCACTTCGTTTTGGCATTATAATTTTTAATTATAATTATAAATACTTTACAAAAAAAAAGCTAGAATAAAGTGTAAACTTATTGGGAGACGCGTGCTGTCGTCACCGTGCACGAAAAAGGAATGAGCTCAGAATGGCGACTCACTCCGTCCCTGAGTCAGCGGTGGTAGGGGTAAGTCGGTTCACAGCCAACTTTAGTTTAGTCAGTTGAGTTGTCTTTTAAAGCGTGCATAGTCACCTGTAGGTTAAGGGGACTACCTGGTGAATAATTATATCTCAAAAATGAAGCGATGAAATATAATTAAAGTCACTTAATACGTTATTCACATCATGTATTTCATTAACTGCATAAAATATCACAAATTTAAACAAGGTTATAGATATTCATAATTATAACAATGTACATTTGTTATTATTATGAACAAAGAGTGTACATACTCTAAATTGTCCGGTGGGTTTCTTACCACCGTACAATTTAGAATATTATGCACACTCAAGGTAAGGTAAATCTGTATTAAAAATCACAATTATGTTTACGAATTTTTCTTCCTTTGCCCTCCGTGACCAATTTTGGAAATAATTTTAGACTATTAGCGTTGAAACTTAGTTCAACACTGAGTGTTAAAACGTTATTTTAATACTAAAGAAAATGAAAGTAACCTACAGAGATCATACCTCCCAAAGTTAGATGATGTTACTAAAGTAAGAACAAGTAAGCATATCTTTAACAGTTATGGAACGTACCATTTCCGTAACGTGCTCACAATTTAAGTTTGTAACGTGTAAATCTAGTGTTGGCAAGTTATTTTAAGTGACACGTGGACGTACATGCTGGCAAAAGAAGGATTAACTTTCCTCATGCCGTATTTATTACTTTTTGGTCACATACTCGTATATTGCGACACCATTCCTCAACGTGTGGTCTCGGCGTAAGAGAATTAACCTCTGGAGTTAACAGATCTAGTAATTTATGGATTGTACTAGTAAAGTTCTATCGTTATACTTTATTTTACAATTTGTTTTCAGTGTGAACTAAATATTTGAGAAATTAGCAATTAAAATCGAAAAAAAGTGTCATTCTCATCAGTGTCATCTAAAAAGCATAGCAAACGTAGTATGAAATTTAGTGCAAGCACCCTGGTTGTTATTTATTAAGACTTTAAAGCTACAAGAAGCGTTAACTTTAGTAACAGTCATCATCATCATCATAACAGCCCTTCTCAAGTCCACTGCTGAACATAGGCCTCTCCCAAGTGAGGAGTCACCCTACACTACGCCTATCGGTACGAGGCTGCCTCACTCGAGAACCTATTTTACCCATTGGTTGTCGGTTCTTCGAGCAATATGGCCGGCCCATTGACACTTCAGCTTTGTAATCCGTTGCGCAGTAGCTCCCCTGTAATTCCATCCTCTTCTGGATCTTTGCCGTTTTTAAGGTGCTAGAGAGCCATTCTAATTTCACTCAAACTGACGTCCGGGATACCATCGGAATAGTGTCAGATCGAAATAGTGTAAACTAACTATAGTATAACATAATAGTTGTCGTAATTTTAAAATATTGACGTGATTAATGTTTTGGTTGTGTGTATAGCGATGGGTTGGTTTCAATACTGCCATTAGGTAAAATAACACGACCAAGTGAATGCATACTACGTTCAGCAATGTTCTTAATTAAACTGTCAGTGTCGAAAGTCTGACATTGAAATATTTATGAACTCTAAATTTATTTAATGAAAATCTTCCGACTAACGTCTTTTGGGTAGACGTTTAATTTCCGTGTATGATCCAAACTGAACTCTTTCTAAAAACTCCGACAATCAATTTAATATTTTTAGTTCAGAATAAAGTATTAAGAAAGACGGATCCCTTAGAACTAATAAGGACTGCGATATCCTGTGCTTTTACAAGTAATATTTTTTTACATTTTTGCACATTAATACATTCGTTTATTATAGCCTATTAAAAGTTCCAGCCCTCCCCCATAAATTAGCTCATGACTGCCCCGTTGATAGATTTGTCGTAAACGAGGTAGCTCATCATGAGGTCCCGGGATCGAAGCCCGTGTCGTGCCATAATCAATTATTAGGGATTTCTGTCAAGAAATTCTCAGTATCAGCCTTCAGAGTCAGAAAGTTGGCGGTGTATTATTCTCGTGCCTCGCTCTTCATTGAGACTTATTGCCACGACCAAAATTCGGTCTAGAGTACATTATTAAGTCAAAGAGAAGATATTTGTCATAGAAGGATTGGCTGCTGCTGTTGCGAATCTCCTGTTTCATTTTCTTCTGTAGCCCCATAAGACACCCACGGCACGATATGGATATGACCATTGCAACATAATAAGGCATAATTATTTTATTTTGGTAAGATAAAACGGACACTCGATCCTTTACCTACATAGTTGAACTTGCTAGCCATTTTTGAAAAAAAAACAATTGTTACTCGTACGTAACCTACTTGATGTTATTATCTGGAGGCAACCATTTATCAAAATGTCATGTTTAAGAGTTATAAAGCTGATATATTTAACTTAAAACCTCTCTACTCTAATAATAGTTATTTTTCTAAGACGGTTCTCACTTTGCTGTTTTATGCGTACTCCCAGTACACCGTTCTATTATGTTAAAATTGTTTTTAAAATACAATGTAATAAAGAATTAGTTGTTAGATATTATATAGGTTGGGTAATCTAACGTTTGGTGATAAAACCAAACGTTATTTTGGGGTTGGAAGGTTTGATGACATTTCCGATGTGATAGAAAGTTAGTTTGCTTGACTTTTATGAAATGGGTCGCATTTCGCTTGAACAAAATTGGGAAATATTAAAAACTTATTTATACTTTTTCTACTCAAACTGTAAGAAGTTTACGAAAATATTTGACAAAAAGGATGTGCCATAAACGCTATTAGTGGATCAATTTGTGATAATGTGAAAATAATTATTTTATTTTGGTACGATAAAACGGACATTCGGTCCTTCGTTCACCTATATAGTTGAAATTCTTAGCCATTTTCGAAGAACAATTGTTGCTTGTACGTAACCTATTTGATGTTATTATCTGGAGGCAACCATTTATCGAAATACCATGTCTTAGAGTTATAAAGTTGATATATTTAACTTAAAACCTCTCTACTCTAATAATAGTTATTTCTTCTAAGACGGTTCTCACTATGCAGTAACGCATAAAAATTCCCAGTACACCGCTCCATTATATGTGAAAATGGTTTTTAAAATACAATGAAATAAAGAATTAGTTGTTAGATATTATATAGGTTGGGTAATCTAACGTTTGGTGAAGAAACCAAACGTTATTTTGAGGTTGGAACGTTTGATTATATTTCCGATGTGATTGAAAGTTAATGGAAATTTTTTTAGTTAATGAAAATTGAAATAAAAATGGATCGCTTTTCGCTTGAACAATGTTGGGAAATATTAAAAACTTATTTATACTTCTTCTACTCAAACTGTAAGAAATTTACGAAAATTATTTGACAAAATGGATGTGCCATAAACGAAGTTAGTGGATCAATTTTTGAAGCAAATTCGTGAAACTGGATCGTGGTTGGATAAAACAACTCGTTTACGTATTCGTCCACTGCGCTCAGCCGAAGAAAACATCGCTGCTATTGCTCAGTGTGCGTGAACAACCAACAACATAAACTCGGTTATCGTTCTCAATAATTGAACATTTGACGCACTTCTTTGAGAAGAATTTTGCATAAATATCTTGGTATGAACGCGTACAAAGTTCAATTATTGTAAGAGCTGAAGCCGCATGACCACACTACACGTTTTCGGTTTGCTCAATTGGCCGAAGACCGCTTGATCGAAGATGAGCACTTTTATCGAAAAATCATATTTTCAGATGAAGCTCATTTCCACCTCAGAGGATATTATGTCAATACGTAAAATTGTCGTATAAATGGCTCACAAAATCTACGCACTGATAAAATATTCTTTAGTTTTTTATAGCCGATTCAATTTACAAATATTAAATAGCGGATGGCGGTATAATCATCTTGTTAACAGTAGACGTAAAATACTCAGCCCGGTGACGGGAAGCAGTGACAAAAGTACGCAACGTCTGACACTTCGATCGTCAGTAGTGACGATTAAGGCAAATCCAAATAATGAGGGAGGCCCATGTGCAGCACTGGACTTTCACGAGCGAGATAAATGTATTACCGGATACCTATTTTATTGGAAAAGGTCACTCAGTGGTTTCAAAGCATCTATATTTTGATTCTTAAGTAGATTTCAGACTACGCTATAATATAAAGCATATAATATATAGCTCATGGCACAACAAAATTGCACACTATAAAAAGTCTAAATATAGTCCAGTGTGGACGCATAGTACAGTGTGGACGTGTCCATAACAATGTATAGTGCGCGATATTGTTGTGCTATGAACTATATACTATATGTTATTATATTATAGCGTAGCCTGAAATCTACTTAAAGCTAACCGATATTCGTTTGTCACCTTTAGTCTAAAAAGAATATATGCGAAATTTAAACTAATATTTCCGCTGCAGATTTAAATATTTTATGAAATGACATGGGTATGGGAAAGAGACAGACTTCTGTGTCTAAGTAATCAATGAAACAGATTAATTTAATAATTTGGATTGCGAATCGAATCAAAGTTTTTTTTTTTGAAAAATAATAATTTACTTCACTTAAGTTATAAAGGTAGACGAGTATTACAGATGATAGCAGCCTCTTAAGAAAAATGAAGCCCTTAAGTTGTTCTCTAGTCCTTGCTTTGGGAAATTTTAGTTCTTTTGTTGACAACTTTTAAAGAAGTTTTCTATTCGTCAGTTTAAATATAAAAGACTGTTCATAATAAATACATTTCAATTTTTTTAACATCATTCATGAATTCCACAAGTAAAGTAAATAAATAAAAGATACATACTCGATACTTCCCACGGCTGGTAACGGGCACTCTTATTTCTTATGGTATAGGAATCACTTCGTCCGTTTTAATTTCGCAGTATGTTGGTGGTTGTGTC